TATTGCGTTACTCCACAAAAAAGTAACTAATTGCGTTAACTAGTTAATTTTTAAGGAAAGTAATGCATTACAGTATTGCGTTACTCCATAAAAAAGTAACTAATTGCGCTACTTAGTTACTTTTTATGGAAAGTAATGCATTACAATATTGCGTTACTCCATAAAAAAGAAGTAATTGCGTTACTTAGTTACTTTTTATTAAAAGTAATGCATTACAGTATTGCGTTACTCCATAAAAAAGTAACTAATTGCGTTACTTAGTTACTTTTTATGGAAAGTAATGCATTACATTACTTTTGCGTTACTTTTGTTACCTGGGCTGGACTTGCTTATTTGTTTTTTATTAACAAAAACCCAAAAGCTATATTTTTGGCAACTTTAAAGGCCCTTTCACAAAAGTGAGATGAATAAGCCTCAGGCTGAAGGAAGCGTCTCTGATTTCTCTCAATGCGGAGAAAGAGGAGCTGTCAGTCAATAAATGGGAAAACAAAGTAACTGACGTTACTTATTTGAAAAAGTAACTCAGATATTTTCTTGTAAATTTAAAAGTAATGCATTATTTTACTAGTTACTTGAAAAGTAATCTGATTACATGCCTCGCATTACTTGTAATGCGTTACCCTCAACACTGATCTTAAGTAAGCCAAAATGATTACAGGCCATATTTAAAGGTTGTGTACCATATTTAGCATATTAATGTCAGAGAAGCCAAAGCTATTCTTGGTCATAGATGCTCTCACTTGTTTCTGTAATGATTAAGAATAGAGTTTATCAAAGGCGAGCAACATTAGCTGACTTTAAACAGAAAGAGGAAATCCTTTATTTATGATTCAGCCTGTCTGTTTATTTTCTTGCTTGTTTATTAAAGGCACTTCTCACTCTATAAAATGGCGAACTCAAGGGATACCAATGAATTTGTGTCACAGAACATTCTTTGTTTTGCTGACATTTTGTCTCTTTATTAACTTTTGCTAAATAAAAGGAAAAAAATAAATGGTCATTTACTGTAGATTCATAAGGTCTTTTGAATAGTGCAGCTTAAACTCATTGGAGTCTTGGGTTCTTGGTCTTGAGACCAATCGAAGTTGACCCAAGCAGTGGGTCTCAAACTATAGTCTTTTTCCAGATCTGGGTCTTGCTTATTGTTTATTTTGGGGTTAATTGTACTAAATTAACTGATACCAAAACCGGCCCGAAGGGGTCTAGTCTCACAGTCTGGGTCTGGTCTCGATTCTGACTCTTGCAATGATAGAAGTGGAAAGACAATCCTTTTATTTTACTATAGGTGCCTTTGTCACATTATATTTTTAATATTGAAGGTAGTAAAATAATCAATTTTAATGCATCTACACTTTCCAGGATACCAGATATCTGGCTCCTTCTACACATATTCGCCTACAGAAACCCATCCAGTGGCAATGGACCCCAGTATGAGATCTGCCGAAGCCATGGCTATTTCAGGTATGAACACATTTTGGCATCATTGAGATACTTTTATGCTTTTTATAAATGCATATATATTTTTTTATTTTCATTTTACTTAGTTTTAGTAATTTTCTTGTGTGTTTTTGTCTTTTTTTTTAATTTATATATTTATTTTTTGTACTTTTTACATGAGTCTGTTTAGTTTATATACATTTTTTATTTCCGTTTTAGTTATTACATTAAGTTAAACTAAACTAAATAACAAAGTTTTTTCAGTTATTTCATTTTCATTTCAATTTATTTTGTTTCAAGTAACAAGAAAGTTTTTTAATGGTTTTAGTTTTAGTTAACTATAATAACCCCGAGTGTTGCTATGAGCTTTGGCACGTAACGTGCACCGTGGACATGAATGATACTGTAAATCAAGTAGTTTTTAAGGAAATACAATTTGGATGATAAAAAGCAGATTTTAAAGGTCTACGTTGATTGGATTCTTTGCTATAGCTGAAAAAGTAAAGTAAGGGATTACTCTAATTACAGTTACTTCTGATGTAATTGCATTAAATACTGTACAGACTATAGAACAATTCTATATAAAACAGTGGACATAACATATAATATTAAAATGGTTTTAATGTAACAGTCTTCCTTTAAATACTTTGATCAATTTAATAATAATTTTTGCAATATTATATTATTTATTTAAAATAATTAAAAGAGCCGTTTCATGTCCATCCTTGTATTGTACAGCTGGTATGGGATTTAGAAAGTAATTAGTAATGAGAAATCCAATACATTTTAGGGTAACACTTTATTTTAAGGTGTCCTTGTTACACGTTACATGTAACAATAAATGATGCATAATTACATGCAAGTAACCCCCATGCCAAACCCTGACCATATAGTAAGTACATGTAGTTAATTAATATGAATCAGTATTTAAATGTATCTGTACACTGTAACAAGGACACCTTACAATAAAGTGTAACCGTTTTTAGAGAAAGTAATCAGTACTGTAATCTAATTACACTTTTAGGATTTAGTATTAGTGGCTAGTAATTAATTACTTTTTTAGAGTAAAATACCCAACACTGCTATTGAAACCAGCTAGAAACCACCCAAAACACCCCAGTATTGTGTCATCAGGTTTTTTCTTGTTAACCTTCATCCTTCCCTCGGGACCCGTTTTTTTTTTTGTGTGTGTTGAGTGTTCATCTGAGTGGTACAAGACTTGGTGACTTTTGTTCCACTTGAATTTGGAACACACACAAAAAATTTGAGTGGATTCGAGGATTTATGTGGCTGTAATTAAAAATTTTTACAAATCCTTTCCCTGGCGGGTCATTTTGACCCGAGCATAGGAATGAACGCAATGTCTAAAAAAATACATTTTTATTAGATTTAAAAAAAGTCTATGGAAGCCCGTTTCCGCCACTGAATAAAAAATAAAAATGGTAATTGTGACTTTATATCTCACAATTCTGTGAAAAAAAGTCAGAATTGTGAGATATAAAGTCACAATTACCTTTTTAATTTTTTATTCAGTGGCGCAAAAGGGCTTCCATAGATTTTGTATTTTTACAATATAATAAATAAAAAAATCAAAAATAAATTTGATTTTTAATTTAAAATCACCCCCCAACACACACACAAACACATACATGGTACACGCACACACATAGAGACACATTATAACACGCATGATTAAAGAAAACAAGGTAAATAAAAATTTAATAAAATAAAAATCACCAAAACAAACCCCTACATAAATATAAAGAAAAAAAAATGGATCAATATAAGCTTTCTGGACCAAAAAAATAAAAAGTTTCATTGTTTCAAAACGTTTGACCCACGAGGGAAAGATTTGTGAGAAAACGCAAGGGAAGGATAAAAGTCTCTTCTGAAAGGCTGTGTTCTGTGGTCCGCAGACTGCCGCCTGCACGTCTCTCTGTACTATCGCGAGTCTCTGGTGAAGGAGGTGACCACCAGCAGCCCTGAAGGCTGTCGCATCTCCTCCTCTCCGTCTCCAGGATCCCCCTCGTCCCCGTCGTCCCCGGGCCCCGAGGAGCGTCTGTACGGCGGGGCCGAGCCCGTGCTCTTGCCCTTCCCGTACCCTCAGTCGCAGCGGCGCGGGGCCGAGAAGCTGCCTAACGTGCTGGAGCGCGGCGTGCTGCTGTGGCTGGCTCCGGACGGGCTTTACGCCAAGCGCCTGTGCCAGGGCCGCGTGTACTGGGAGGGCCCGCTGGCCCCGTACGCTGACAAACCCAACAAGCTGGAGAAAGAGCAGACCTGCAAGCTGATGGACACGCAGCAGTTCCTCTCAGGTTAGAGATCTCACAGAAAGTGCTGGTGTTTTGAAGGTCACATGACTGTTTCGTCTGTATTAAAGTCCTATATATATTTTTTAAAAACTAAAAAACAAAAATAAAATTCCGCACACTACCAATACTTGCAGTTTTTTTCATAGTTTTATTGGTTGTCAATACAACTGCTTTTGCACTTTTGCAAGTATTGGTAGTGTGCGGAATTTTATTTATTTATTTTATTTTTTTTTGACTTTTTTCTTTTTATCCTACACACCTGTTTATTATCTTCAGGTGTGCAATGATTGATTGCTAATTGAAAATATATTTTAAAAATACAGTATACATATATATATTTTTAAAAGCTTTTCAAAATAAATTTCGCCCTCCATATATTTCTGCGCAAGAAAATACATTAATACATCACATTTGTTTTGATTTGAAAAACTTTATTTGTTGTCTATAACACGTATGAACATATTGAACATAACCATTATTAATCTAGCTAATTCCATCTACATTTGCTGTTAATGTAGGCTACTGTAAGATTGTACATTTATTTTTTTGCTCCTGAAATACATTTTGAAATATATTTTGGTATATGCATGCATTTCATACATTTCAAAAATATATTTCATTGAGCTTCACATGGTGCTTGCACACATCAAGACTTATTTATGAAATGAATTTCAGTGTAAATCCTTCTTAAAAACCATTGGGATTCATCGTTGTAAATTGTTCATAAAACTATTCTTACCTTAATGCATCCGTTTAATCAAGAACTAACGTATGAATGATCTTTATCAGATGGCACCCAATCAGAGCAGTTTGTTTAGCTGTAGATTCGCTCTAGAGCTGTTTTTAATTGGACTGTATTGTGGAATGAGGGAAAGGCCTGTCTTTAAGCTGATGAAAGCATGCTCATGGAGCTGTGTGTGGTTGGCCACATGTCATGATTAGCTCTGTTTCACTCGTGTTTAACACTGTGGGATTTTCCAGCGAGCTCCTGAGCGTCTGATTATAGTCCACCTGCTAAAGTTCATTTGCATTTCAGCTCTCTGCTAGTCATCAGCTTAAGAGGGTCTTGTGTTCGCATTATTGCTCATCAGGAGTTTTTTGTGTCTTTGATGACTGTATAGAATGGGGTTTGACATTAAAGCCCATCAGCAATTTTAGACACTTTTGTACCACTTTAAATTTGTCAAGTTGCTTCTTAAATCACATTTAGTCATTTAGCAGACGCTTTTATCCAAAGCCACTTACAAATGCAAGCAATCGAAATAATATGTAAGTGCTGTGACATTTTTATAATAAATAAAAAGCAAACAAGTAGACAGAATAGAAAAAGAACAGAGAACACTAGTGTTAGAGGGTCAAGTGTTTCATTTAAAATAATTATTAATCAAATTAAAAACTGCCAGTACTGTTATCAAAATCATATCGGGCACAAATGCAATCAAACAATTATGATTCACTATTTAAATTAAATTAAATGCATTGCATTTATACCTAATGATTGTTGTCGGTGTGCTTCGTTTTATTTATGCTGAATTTGGTTACACTTTATTTTAAGGTGTCCTTGTTACAGTGTAATTATACATTTAAGTAGTGAGTGATATTAATTAACTACATGTGCTTACTATATGGTTACTTGCATGTAATTATGCATAATTTGTTGTTACTATAATAGTAAGTACAAGTAACATGTGTAACAAGGACACCTTAAAATAAAGTGTTACCAACGTTTTACTTTAAAATACATTTTAAATCATAATATTTTAATAATCTTTTGTCGTGTTTGCAAGAAGTACATTTATTGTGATGTGTTGACTAACATACTAAAGCACACGTGAAGTACTTGATTAGCATTTTAACTGCTAAGTGTAATTTGATATTACATATATTACAAGTATATTATATATATAGGCCTACTGCATTTCTAAAACATATCCCATTATAAATGATATTTTTGTCTAATCTTGCTTATATAATACACTCCAGTACAACTCAGTTAAAAGTTGACTGTATTGCTAAAAAAAAACAACAACAACAACAACAAAACCTAACACTTCAGTGCTATTAAATATGAGTTAGAAACTTAAGCAACATTTTTGCATTGCTTGAGCTGACCATTTTTTGAGACATTTTTTCTTAACATATCTAAACACAATTATATATTATTGCCACAGTGCATTCGGCAGTACAAGTAGTTACATTTTAAAATGTACTTACGTCCTACTTAAGTGAGTCAAAAAGTTCAGCTAATTGCATTGAATATAAATGTAAACTATAAAACATTTACATTTAATCACAATCGACATTTTAGTTTTAGTGTCTGAAAACATTACATTCAGTTCACACTTAAGTATACTCTTTTAAAGTATATTATTTCTGTAGTAAGTATTCTTTTTCAAAGCAAGCTAAAGTAAAGTGTTTTTCTTTTTCACAATTGAAGTCATATCTTAATGTTATATGCAAATCTTGAAAGTAGGATGTGAACGGAATACCATTTAAAAAGAGATGTTTGTGTAAATTTTTTAATTTCATACTCATGCACCATTACACACATTACTAATTTAGCAACAGACAATGAGCACGTTTACATGCACTCCAGTAAGCTGATAACTCACAAATACCAGCTTATTAAAATAACCAGTTTTCCCCGTTTACATGCACATCAGTAGCCTGACAATGCAAGTAAACATGACTTCATTAATAAATCAGTTTATTTCCCTGTTGTGACATCAAAACATAACCATTTAACAGGCAAAAAACTACCTGGGTCGACCGGTTTATGCTTAAGCCGTTTATGACCTTACTCCGATAAAAGAAAACGGGTTACGGGTTTTGTGATCTTTCCCATTCCCTCTGAATGGCTGGACATTTTTGACCGGGAACACCACAAGTGTGACTTTGTGCCATTTTGTACAAAATAAATGCCTTTCAAAACAAACTCCCTGATTAAACATTAAAGCACACTAGTGTGATAAACAGTGCAAATTTTCATCAGTTTGTATTTAATATTGTGAAAATTATTCATAAATAATGCTTTTTTCACTCAAAAAATGAGGTGCCTACTCTCAGATAAACGAGGCCTACGATTAATCAGATGCAAATATAAATACAAAACCAGTCCTAAATGAAAGAAAAGAAGTTGACAAAAAGATTTAATCCAATATTTGGTGATGATATACCATAATGAGTGATTTACAAGCATTTTTGCCCTGGAACATCACAAGTGTTATAGGGTTTTGAACACAACACATTAAATGCAAGACATACTGAAGCATTTTCAGCTGTTTAGATAAAAGATGCTAAAATAACATTTTAGTCCCATACAGATTTAATATGGAATGCAATTCTGATCAGTGTGCAGAAATATGTGGAAACCCCAATTAACTATAAACCTTAAAGGTGACATATCATGAAAATCTGACTTTTCCAGGTTTTAAGTGCTATAATCAGGTCCCCGGTGCATCTACCAACCGAGGAAACGTGAAAAAGATTAACCCAGTAACTTTGTTTTGGGAAGCCTTTTTCTGCAAGCGTCTGAGAAAACGAGTGCGTCTG